TGCCAGCAAAGGGCCAGCCTGGGCAAGTAGGCCTTTCTACAAGTAGCAGTCTCAGGTCTGCCATGTTAATTCTTTTCTGCACAATGCAATATTTTTAATAATCTTGCAGTGAAAAAGGCATTTCTAAGCATGATTAGAAACTCTCAGAAGCCATAAAGGGAAGGAATGGTAAATTTAAGTACATTTGAAAAACTTAAATATGGAAAAGGAAAAAAGTGTTATGGAGTCAGAAGACAGACTAGAAAAAGCTATTTGTAACATACACGAGAAAAGGGGGAGATTTTCCCCCCCAATATGTAAAAGCTGTTACAAATCAGCAAGTAAAAAGAATAATGTAATTTGCTGATGAAGATAGTTCAAGTGACTTCTAAATATCTGAAAAGATACTTTACCTCAAGAAAAAAATAGACAAAAAATGAAACAACAGTGTGATCCTTTTCATCTATCATATTTGGCTAAGACTGATGAATTACAGTCTCAGTAAGATTGATTACTCAGTGTAGGAGAGGGTATAGGGAAATTGATATCACATTTCCTGCTGGTGGCATAGGTTAACATAGCCTTTCTGAAGGGCATTTTTACAAAATCTGTTAAACTTGATGACACTTCCTACCCTTCGACTCAGTTCCATTTCTAGGGTTTTAGCTTACAGAAACCCATACAAGCTCACAGATGCATATGGATAAGGATGTTTTTTGGAGCGTTGTTTGTAGTAAGTAGTATAATGCTGGTAATAACACAAATAGTTAAATTATACTACTTCATAGACTAAGGGGTTATTTGAAATATATATCATAACACTATTATAACTTTCTAAAATCTGAAAAGTTCTGAGGCATATTCTAAGGGTTTCAGATAAAGGATTTGTGTTTTTTTTTTTTTGTCCTTTTTGTGACCGGTAAGGGGATCGCAACCCTTGGCTTGGTGTCGCCTGCACCGCACTCAGCCAGTGAGCGCATCGGCCATCTCTATATAGGATCTGAACCCATGGCGGGAGTGCATCTCAGCGCCACACTCTCCCGAGTGCGCCACAGGCTCGGCACTAAAGGATTTGTGTTAATTAAAAGAAAGAAAAGGCAAACTGTAAAATAGTATGTGTCATATTCCAGTTTTGGTGTTAAATAATGTTACTGTAGGAATAGGAAGAAATAATAGTACAGAACATATTCCCCACATTTAACAGTGATTAACTGAGGGTACGGTAATGTCTCTAATTTTCTCCTAAGTGAAATTAGCTTGATAAGAGTTTGCATAGATAAATAACATCAAAATTGCAGGGAGGATGGAACTTGCCTCTTACTCTGAGGTAATACTTGTCCTTCTCTGATGACCTGGAAAATCTTAGATCCAACAACTTTTTCAGTTGAGTCCTTAGGAAACGTAGACTTGAGTTTTAGATTCCTTTTGAATTTTCAGAACTTTTGGTTCCGTCCTTCTTGTTTTTGAATAGACCCTTTTGTGGTCCTTTGCCTAATTTTGTTTGTCACTTTCACAAGGCTGTGTTTCCAGAGCTTAGGGTAAAGGACAGTGTTCGTATTTCTTCTGTCTCTGAAAACGGGATTCAGGGACCATACTAGTGCTAAGTCTTTGCTCTTTATTTTGCTAACTTTGACAGGTTGAAAAATGTAGTCATTGGGTATATATGTACATATTGACATTTCTTCCTTTTTATGAAGTTTGAACATGTATCTTTTATTTAAGTATAAATGTGTCTCTAAAGATGACCTAACAGCATTGCACTGATCCTCCTTAGAGGATGTAGGCTTTAACTTCTTCAGGTGTGCTCAGCCTGCTTCAGAGGGCTGAAGTACATGTGGTGTTTGGTGCCTTTTCTTCCTATTCCCACATTTCTTCCATAAATAATTTTATTATGTCTAAGATGTATTTTCCTTTCTCATGAGGGAGAGTAGAAAGTGTTAGGTATGATAGTGGGGTTTCATAGGAAGCACCCAAATGATTGTATGAAAAATGAAAGGGACCAGACATTTCTCTCTTTTTTTTTTTAAGCTTTGGCACAGATTCTCTAGGTCAGCGTGTTATGAAAAATTTAGTTTTCTGCCGTTGTCCACAGAACAATTCTTCTACAGTTCTTGTAGCTCAAATTTGTAGGCAGTTTTCACTGCCTATGGTCTGTAAGACACTAGGCAGATAGGTGCTCCTTACCTGAAACTTCCACAAATACTGTGGGTTGAATTCACTGCTCCTGAGAACTCCTTTCACAGCAACATTCAGTATTTGTCAAATAGAAACATTGGTCTGGTAATCTCAGAGACAACCTGCTTGCCTTTCCTGCCTTCCTTTCTTGTTCTTTTCTTCCTTTATTATGAAATTTTAAAACAAAATTTGAGACTTGATTTGGATTTCACCAGTTTTTCCATTAATGGTCCTCCTTTTTCCCGAGGATTCTATCCAAGGCACTATTGAGTGGTCATGTATCCCAGGTTCCTCTGGTCTGGGACAGTTTCCTAGTCTTTTCTTGTTTTTCATGATCTTGAAAGTCTTGAGGAGTATTGGCCAGGTGTCCTACAGAATGTCTCCCAATTTGGGTTTTTCTGTTCTTTTTATACTCATGATTAGATTGGGGTAATGGGTTTTTGGAACGAATATCAAAGAGATGAAATGTCTTTCTTGTCATGTCATATCAGAGGTACATGATTACCCATGTGACATCACTGATGTTAACCTTCACTGGGTTTTCAGTTTTCTGAACTGTAAAGTTGACATTTTCCCTTTTCTGTATTCAGTTCTTTGGAAGCAGTCACTAAATATAGTCTACCTTCAAGGGTAGGAAGGAGGCAAGAATTAAGCTTCACCTCCTGTAGTGGTAAGTGTCCACATATACATATATATATTTTTTTTTTTTCCTTTTTGTCTTTTTTCATGTCCGGCAACGGATCACAACCCTCAGTGTCGCGCCCGTACCGGGACCGGCAAGGGGATCGCAACCCTCGGTGCTGCGCCCACACCTCGCTCAGCCAGTGAGCGGGAACCGGTCTGTCTGTATGTGGGATCCGAACCCTCGGCGGGAGCGCCACCGCGCTTCCAAGCAGCGCACTGTAGCAGTGCGCCACCGGGCCGGCCCCCACATATATTTTTAATTCTTCTATAAGAAAGATTTTTTCCTTTTCTGTTTTTTAAATCATTCAGTCATTTATTTATATCACTATGGGCTCATGTAAATTTATACTTTTATTTATAATCTAGTACTATGTTATTTATTTCATTTCTCCATTTGTTTCAGCTTTGGCCATTAGCTCTTTCAGGTTGGTTTCTGTATCCCTTGGATATGTGCTATGTCCCGTTTCCTTTCTGGCACTATAGGGTGTTTCAGGCTCATCTTGTTTTTTCCCTGTCCAAAGCCCTAGAATCACCCATTTTTCCAAGGAGCCTGATTCCTTTTACTGGAGGATGGTACTTAAAAATATGATCGGTTCTGGGTGGTGAGTGTGCTTGTTGCTTATTGCTATCAGGGTGTTGTTTCTTCTGGCCCTCTCAGGATCAATTGATCTGTCTGTCTGTCTATTTATCTATCTATTTATCTATTTATCTATCTATCTATCTTCTTCCTTCTTTTAGAAAATTATTATGGGAAATTTCAGGCAAACACAGAAGCAATTCTCAGTATCTTTTATGAATCTTGAATAATTATCAAATAGTAGCCAATCTTGGTTTCACTTATATGACCCCTCTGCATTGTCTCTCCCTTCATTGTTTAAAGTAAATCCCAGTAACTGTATTATTTCACCTGCAAATATTTCAATATTTATCTTTCTTTTTTTGGAGGGGGTGGGTGGCTGGTATGGGGATTTGAACCCTTGACCTTGTTATCACACCCTTCTCTAACTGGCCAGCCTTAGTTTTTATCTCTAAAAAATAAGGACTCCTTTAAATATATTTTTAAATCGAGGTATAGTAGATACAGTAGAAATTATGAAAGTGTGGAGCTTGATGGAATTTTATAAATGTATATATCTCTGTAACCATCACCCGGCTTGAGATATAGAACATTTCTAGCCCCCAGAAGACTCCCTAATTGCCATTGGTAATTTTTGTAAGAACCTTTAAAAAACAAACAACTACAATACCATTATAGCACCTAAAAAATTGGCAATTATTTCTTAAATATCTAGTCATTTATGTAGTTCACCTCTTTTTTTTTTGGCAGCTGCCTGTAGTTTCCCCTCTTATCCCCACCTTTCCCCTGCTGCTGCAATGTATTGGCTGAAGAAGCAGGGTTGTTTGCTCTATAGTTTATCAAAGTCTGGGTTTTGCTGAGAGCATCCTTATGGTATCTTTTTTTTTTTTTTTTAAAAAAGATGACCGGTAAGGGGATCTCAACCCTTGGCTTGGTGTTGTCAGCACCACGCTCAGCCAGTGAGCCAACTGGCCATCCCTATATAGGATCCGAACCCGTGGCCTTGGTATTATCAGCACCACACTCTCCCAAGTGAGCCACAGGCCAGCCCTCTTATGGTATCTTTTAACATGTTTCTCTCACAGTGGCTTTCTTGGGGGAAACTTTCTCTCATTTTCTGGTTAGGTAACCCCAACATAGTAATGGGCAGTGATTTTGTCTTTGGAGAAACTTCATCAGTAAGATGGTTTCACCAAAAATACATTGTCCCAGGCATCTGGTTAAAGTTCTTCTGTCTTGCTCTACTAGCTAGTTCTACAAGTTTTCTTCAAAATCTTATATTCTTTCCAGCATTCGAGTCCTTTAGAAAAACTGAATAACTTTGTATGTAGGAGAAAATTTTGTTATTCTTGGCTTTGTTTTCCTCCCTTCTAGAGGTTAAGTGACCAGGACAGGTGTAAGATAGTACAGTTAACTTTCTTAGTGTTATTTCATAGCTGTGTCAAAATCATCTCTGTACAGGGCTAGCTATGGTTAAACTTCTGACTGAAGGATCTGCAGTACAGAAAAAAGGATTAAGCTGTAAAAATAATTAGTCTCAGTTGTGTTTATTTGCTAAGTTCTCTTTTTTCTTCTTATATTATAGATCAGCTTGAACGGGTCTTTTTACGACTTGGCCATGCTGAGACAGATGAACAACTACAGAATATTATATCTAAGTTCCTTCCTCCTGTTTTGCTCAAACTGTCCAGCACCCAAGAAGGAGTACGCAAAAAGGTAAGCATAGGCTGGCTGGTCAGCTCAGTTGTTTGGAATGCGGTACTGATAACACCAAGGTCCAGGGTTCGATTCCTGTATTGGCCAGCTGCCCGCCCCCCCCTCGCCTTCCCCAAAGGTAAGCATGTTGGGGCAGTTAGGGAAATTAAATGGTGTATGAATGGATACATATTATGAAGTGAGTTTTCTGTTTCCATCGTTGAAATCTGGGTTCATGATCCTAATTATGGCCTTTCAAGATAGAGTCTAGAACTAACTTTCATGATTTGAAAGTAGCTTTTATATGCTCAGCACAGCTGCATTTAGTACCAACTGTACACTTGGCAGTGCCAGATAATAGAACTGAGATAATTATTCTGGAATATGTTGTAGGCTTGATCTAAAGTCCATGCCCCTGATTCCAGTATGAATGTCAGGTGGTAATGGGGCAAAAATATTATTTAATCATTGTCCAACAGTGAATATAATCTTAATTAAAAGTAAGTAAATTTTTTTAAAGAAAAATAATTGTTGTATAGCTACTGTTGTAGGATTCTGCAAAGTATTGTTATAAAAGGTTGCATAACTGTCCTGTCAATATTTTGCAGGCTGGCCGGTTAGCTTAGTTGGTTAGAGCACACCTTGTAACACCAAGGTGGTCAAGGGTTCAAATCCCCATACCAGCCTGCCATTAAAAAAAACTCAAAAAACAAAAAACACTCCAAATTTTCTTTTCTTTCTTTTATTTTTTTCTTAAAGATAATTTATTATATATATATGTGGGATATAGAGTTGACTTTGAATAGTTGTATATGATGTATGATGGTCAGATCACCAAATTTTCTTTTTTTTTTTTTTTTTCCTTTTTGTCTTTTTTACTGACCGGTAATGGGATCGCAACCCTTGGTGTCGCGCCCGTACCGGGGACTGGCAACGGGATCGCAACCCTCGGTGTTGCGCCCGCACCACGCTCAGCCAGTGAGCGGGAACAGGTCTCCACATGGGATCCGAACCCTCGGCGGGAGCACCGCCGTGCTCCCAAGCGGCGCACTCTCCAGTGCGCCACTGGGCTGGCCCACCAAATTTTCTTTTTTAACCTAACTGTTCTACATGGAACATTTTCCCCATTGATTTGTAAAATAGATTATTGTTATTCTTCCAGTGTATTTCTAATAGACCTTCTGGTCTTTGAGCTATTGTCATGTTTCATCTCTTAGACTGTTCTAATTGATTGGCAGTGACTTCCTGGAAGTCTGCCCTTAGAGGGATTCTGAGGCCAGATTTGGGTTCAGTGTGGAAAGAGTATCTGTAAGAATGTCTGTTATGTTTGCAGGAAGGAATGGACATTCTTGTCATATGCTTGACATGCTTGCTGCTAATCCTTCTTTGCTGAGATAGATGTGTGTTTGATCATGTCACTCTCCTATTTAAAACCTTTCTATGGCCTTCAGTTATCCACATGATAGCAAGTTCTAAAAAGCCCTTCATGAATTGATTTCTGTTTACTTAGCTTTATCAGTCTCATTATCATTTAGCAGATATTTACTGAATGCCTTCTATATGCCAGGTGTTGGGATATGTTGGTGAATGAAAAAACATGTAGTTGGGGAGACTGGTGTTAATCAGTCAAATAAGTACATAATTATAATTTGTGATACTTGCTAAGATGGAAAAGGAAAGGATTCTGTGAAATAGTATATCTGGGGACTTGATTTAGACTGAGTGTGGGGCGTAAGGGAGGCCTGTGTGGTGTGCAGGAAGTAGCCAGGTGAGAGATGGGGAGACCATCACAGGGAAACCCCTGTGCAGGGTTCTGAGCTTGGAAAGAGTATGATGCTCATAGGGAATTAAAGAAGGCCACAGTAATGCCCTCAGTGCATGAGAAGAAGAGTGATAGGAGGAATTAAAAATAAATTTATCATAAAAAAGCATGTAATTGTGTGCATGATAGTCTATCACCATCAATAATTATTTTCCATAGAGTCCTAGGAATCAGCCTACATTAGAATGTAAGAAGAGGGCTTTTCCTTTAGCCTGGTTCCTCCTGATACTTTTCTCCTGTCTAGCTGTATAACAGATCTGGATCAGGAAGGAAGTTTAGACGAAGTATGGATGGTAACTCAAGTTTCTAGGTTCTTGTATCATGTCTCACACTGACAAACACTTTAGCTAACTTGAGCTCAACTATCATTGTTTGAAAAGGTTAAAAAAAATGGGTTCTTTTGGACCCTAGGGAAGACTAATTAAAGAAAAGGGGGAGGGCCTGGAGTTCATCTCTTTTTTTTTTTTTTTGGTGGCTGGCTGGCACGGGTATCCGAACCCTCACACTTGGTTTTAACCCCGTGCTCTAACCTACTGAGCTAACTGGCCAGCCCTGGAGACATATCTTGTCTATGTCACTTGCTGGCTTAGTGTCCTTGGACAAGTTACTTCACTTCCCTGAAGCCTCTGCTTCCTCATCTGTAAAATGGGAATGATGACACCACCTTAGTGGTGGTTGTGAAAATCAATAAGGAATGCAAAGTGCTACTACGTACAAGCACACAGCACATAGAAACTATTTGATAAATGTTACCCATTTCATTACTATTTTTATCTTTCATTTAGCAAACATTGATTATAGATTTGCTTTTATTTTTAAACATGATTCACCTGTTTCATTATTGCTTTAGATTCCTTGAAACTCTTGTGTCACTGTAGAACATCCTTCAGCTGTCTTTAGGGCTAGAGCAGACATTTCAGAAATGATGGAGAACAGTGTAGACCTGGCCCTCCAGAACAGTTATCTTAAACTCTTGAGCTTTTCTTAGGTGAGGCTTTGTAAAAAAACAAAAAAACTTTAATTCTTAATGCTCAAATTCTTACTTCTCCTCTCTTAGATAATCTCTCCGTTGTAGTAAGATTGAAGCCATTTGATATAATAAGCCTCCGTACCTTCCTTTCTACCCATAGGAACTGTTGACTTAATTCCTATTTCTGTTCTCTTTTCCCACTTAAAGAAGCAGCAGCTTGTTATTTCCTTCTTAAATTTCTTAGTAGTATCAGATAATCTTCAGAGTAAAGTAAAAATGCCTCAGCATTTTTCCAGAATCCTTTTATAATCTGGACCCTGCTTTTTATGAACTCTTACCACTCTGGGCTTCAGTCAGATGCAGTGTGCATGTTCTCTTGGATTCCTATACCTTCTTATAACTGATTCTCTGCTCGTAATTCGTATGGTGTTCAGGACTCAGTGCTCCCGTCATTTTCTCCCTGAAGTCCTCCTTGATCTGGCAGATGCTTTCTCTTCTGGAAACCCATAGTATCTTGTACATTTCTCTTCTTGTAGTATTCATGGTGTTTTGCAATCATTTGTTCTCAGGTTTTCTGGGGGACTGTGCTTTAGTTAGGCCCAACTTGGATCTCAACTTTGGTTAACTAAAGGATTAACTAAAAATAAATTTACTAGTAAAACCCTGGTGCATGGATTCTTGGGGGATAGCATTTTTGAACAAGACTCTGATATTTTGTATTCTCCTTTTCTTGGATATCAATTTATGTCCTTTAGAAGAACAAAGTAGGTACTCTTTACTAATATAAGTAATATCTGAGAATTGAATTTGTTTTAAAGATGTGATCGATAACTTCAGTTCCTATCTCTCTGCATTTTAGGTAATGGAACTGCTGGTCCATCTGAATAAACGTATAAAAAGCCGCCCCAAGATACAACTCCCAGTAGAGACACTGTTGGTTCAGTATCAGGACCCTGCTGCAGTTTCCTTTGTCACAGTGAGTGTTATCTTGGAATATTTTCTGACTTCTAGTAAGTTTTTTTCCATAACATTTATCAGATGTCATCAATGTGTTGACAAACTTAGAATTTCACCTTAGACTACTTCTAAATGAAACATGAGATGTTTTTCTTTAAATGACACACCGTTTTTCCACTGAGTACTGATCCAGAGGAAATACTACTTTAAAGGAAATGGTAGGAACAGGATAATGAATGGCCATTTACACTGGGCAAAGGAATGTTGGTGAAATGACTTGTCAGGTATGTTGGTATATAAAAGAATTGATTTGATTTTTAGTAAGAGATTATATGAGACAAGTCTGAATAGAGAGAAGAGAAGGGTTATATAGCACAGGCATAAATAAAGGGAGATAATAGGGAAAAAAAAGGAGTAAAATATCAAGAGGAGAATATGAAGGCTTGAATAAGAAAAACTACTGGGGCTGGCTGGTTAGGTCATTTTGTTAGAGCGTAGCGCTGATAACACCAGGGCTTAAGGTTCAGGTCTCCGTGTCAGCTGGCCAGCTACCAAAACGAAAAACAACAAAACAAAACAAAAAAGAATTAAAAACTGCTGTGTTTCTGATGTGTATATTCAGAAAGTTTTCCTTTTTAAAAGTGGAGTAAAATTGAGGCTGGTAAGACATATTAAATTGTTGTCTTCATGAAAATTACATGTAAAAAATGGTAATGCTGTGGGATCATAGGTGATGTTCTTTTCCTAGTTCTTGTAGTTCTTAGCATTGAGGCAAAATCTGCTGAATCTTGTCTAACATCTGGAGTCACAAACCTTTTGGAGTCACTTCCTTGTCCAGACATTTTGTCTGTTCCTATTCTGGATATACAGCTTCATTATAAGTGTTATTTTCTTTAAGCAAATGGAAACACTGTGTGCCAGTAAAAATGCCAAGTAGAATGTATTTAAAGGAATAATCTTATGAAGTTTGTTCACTTTAGTGGAGAATCCTTCAGAAAAACAAATCTTTATCTTACGTGTAAATCCAGATATGCATTTATGGGTTTTCTTAAAATGTGGCATTCATATGGATTTCTGTGATGCCAGCACACCCACAGCATTGAGCTTTCCTTGGTTCATCTTCCAGTGGTGAGTTATTGGAGTGAGGAACCACAGAGTGCTGCAGTATAAAAAGGGTGTTTTAGTGATTGACTAGTTGGGAAGTGGCAGCCTAGGATTTCTTAACACATGATCTCCTAGCATGTAAAGATTAATGCAACAAACTGGGAGATCTGATGTTAACGTGTAGTATGTAGGTTTAGATAGGTTATGTGATTGTTTCTTCTAGTGATAAGTAATTGTGTATATGAATCCTTTAGATGAGGTCATGTTTGCTCACATGAAGTCCACTTTAAAGCAAGTATCTTGAATAAGTTGGACTGGAATTCTTCTTCTGAGGTATTAGTAGTTGGTCAAGCTGTAATGAACACATCGAAAGAGGGCGATTCATGTTTGTGATTTCTTTGTTATAACCATAACTCCCCAAGTTGTCAGCCATATGTTTTTGTTGAAATCAGAGTATTTCCTTCACACTCACTTGCTTTTTTCTCATTGCATTAGAATTTTACTATAATTTATGTTAAGATGGGCTATCCTCGCCTACCAGTGGAAAAACAATGTGAACTTGCCCCTACGCTTCTTACTGCCATGGAAGGGAAGCCTCAGCCACAGCAGGATAGGTATGGTTTCCTCAGTTATCTTATTTCCCACCTGCAAGAGTCAACAACTGGCTTTCAAATATAGGTTCACACATTTGGACAAATGAGAAAGCTTGAGCTCTTTTAGCTGACAAATAATTGAATTTTCTGTGGTACCTCAAAGTTACTGTTCTTTTTTAAAAAAATCATTTATTTATTTTTTTTGACACATAATAATTGTACATATTTATGGGATACAATGTGATATTTGGATACATGTATACAAATCAGGGTAATTTACATACCCATCACTTCCAGTAATTGTCATTTCTCTGTGTTGGGAACATTCAGAATCCTCTTTTACAGCTATTTGAAGTTATACAAAAAATTATTGTTCACTGTAGTCACCCTGCAGTGCTACAAAACACTAGAACTTACTCCTAATCTTATCTGGCTGTATTTTGTATCTGTTAACCAACCTCTCTCTTTTCCCCTCTCTTCCAGCCTCTAGTAAAAACTGTTCTACTCTCTACTTCTACGATATCATTAAAGTTACTGTTTTAATTATACTATCATAAAACTGCTTGATGTAAACATTGAAAAGTGTGCAGAATTTACACCATTTTTCTAAATCGAAATACTTTTTTTGTCAATTATTTTGAAACAGTTAATTTTGTGTGATTGTAAAAATTAGAGTTAAAAATCCTTTTCATCACAACATTTCTATCTTGGAGGAAATAAAGTTTCAAAGCAATTTTCTTTTTTTTTTTTTTTGTCTTTTTTGTGACCGGTAAGGGGATCGCAACCTTTGGCTTGGTGTCGCCCACATCGCGCTCAGCCAGTGAGCGCACCGGCCATCTTTATATAGGATCCGAACCTGCGGTGGGAGCGCAGGTGCGCTCCCAAGCGCTGCTCTCTCCCGAGTGCGCCACGGGGCCGGCCCTCAAAGCAATTTTCTTAAGGAACAGAGCACTTATTTGTATTAATAAGAGGACTGGATGGTTGGAGAGGTTTAGGTAACATCATTTGTTTCTAGGCTTAGCTAAAAGTTCTGTATTTAGCCCTGTTGTAGTGGGAATCATTAGGAAGAGTACAGAAGTTGTGGAGGAAAGATGGAGTTGGATAATGTTTTCAGTTCACTTTTTAGAGCCTGTTCATTTTTAAAAGAAAGACTGTAATACACGTTTATAAGTAAGCTTAATAAACATCACAAGCACTGTTTAAGATTGTTTGCATGTTTTAAGAATATCAGAAAGTGTTAGTGAGAGAAGGAATTACTGAAACCATGTACTTAAATTCATGCACTGGAAATTTTAATATTGTATTTAAAATATTGGTATGATTTTTAATTTTTTAGATTTAGAATAACTTCATTAATTGTGGAAAAGAAAAATTTTATTGTAAAGACATATTGTAAGTCGAACTTTAACCTGATTTAATATAAAATCTCTTGTAACTTCAGATATTAACATTGAGCCCATATTATGTACATTTTTTCCAGATGTTTTTAGTGATGAGCCAGATTGGCTAAATGCCAATTATCACCCAGTGTACTGAGCTTTAAATGAGAAAGAAATCTAGATTAGGACTTTATAAATCAGTAGTGTTGAAAATGAATGGTTCTTGTTACAACTGTGAGTTTTTGTTTTGTCTGTTAGTTGCATATATAAACACGTTATTTTTTAAGTAGTTGCAATAAATGTAATTGTTTTTTCAGCTTAATGCATCTTTTAATACCAACCCTTTTTCACATGAAATACCCTGTTGAATCATCAAAATCAGCTTCTCCTTTTAATCTTGCTGAGAAACCAAAGACTGTGCAGCTGCTTTTGGACTTCATGCTTGATGTCCTTCTGATGCCTTATGGGTGAGTTAAAAAGTAAAAACAAAAAAAAGCAACCTCATTCTTGACTACTTTTACTGTGTAAAGTTAAGTACATTTTAAATGGTTCAACTCTTTCACTTGTAAATGGATGCATCTCAGATTTTTTGCTGTAGCTCCAACTTCTGAACTACAGCTCTATTGTTCATTGGCCTTATAGATGGCGAGTTGCTATTGTGAATTCAGACTCAACCTGTCCAAGCTGAAATCAGTCTTTCTCTGTAAAAATAGTTTCTTTTTAAATTACTATCAATGCTTTGATGGTTCTCTTAGTCATCTAGGCATACATTTATAAATTGTCTCCAGCTTTTCTCCTTGTTGCTGCACTATCAGTTTCTTCCCCTTGATATGTTCTGAAGCCATTCCTGCTGCTGATTTCTAGTTTTGGCTCTTTTCATCTCTGGTCACAACTTCTTTCTCATCAGCTACTCTTCTTCAGACCTCTCAACACTGGCATAGAGTTTCCTGATTTTTAAAACTCTGATCTTACCAGGTCACTCCTTTAAGTCCTTGTGTTCTCATCTTCCAGTCATTACATACACTTATGCATTTCATGCACTCTTATGTGTCCTTGCCTTTTTACTTTTCAAGAGAAGGCAGTTCTCCCTGTTTAGAATGCTTCCTATCAAAAAAGAAAAGAATGCAGAAAGAAAGAAAACAACAACAAAAAACGGCAACAAAAACTGCTTTGAAAAAGCATCCCAAACTGGTTAGGATGTTAACTCTGTGTCTCTGACATAAATTTCTTGCCATAGCAAATATGATTGCACTGTTTTCCATGTCCTCATTAACACTAAACCCCAACCAATATGGCCACTTTGTGTTTTTACTGCATTGTTGACATTTCCATCCACCCACTAGATTGTGAGCTCTTTGTAGTCAAAATTTGTTTTATGTATCTTTGGTCACTGGTATAGTGCCCAGGTTGTGATCTGCTTCAGCATACTTATTTTGCTGTGTTCCTGGAGAAGTTTTTCTGAAATGCTGCTTTCATCATGTTTCTTCCCTGATCACAAATATATACATACACAATAAGCTTGGTGTGTGGGGCTCCATATCATCTTTCCCAAAACCCAGAAATAAGAGAGTTCATGCTGTATGTTTTCTTTCGTCAATTCGCTCTCCTCCTGCCTTGGTTTTCTGGTTCTTCAAACACTTCATGTTCACTCCTACTACCTCTGTCATATTTCTTATTTCTCTGTGGTTTCTTTGTATCCGGTAACATGGCAAATGCTGTTACATGTGTTGTGTTGTCTCAACTTGCTGTAGGTGGCAGAGACTCAATCTTAGACCTTCTTATATTCCTCTGTTTCGTGCTTAGGATGATGTTTTGCATAGTGGTAGATACTTAATGCATTCATCAGTATTGCTGTGTAACCTTTTTTTGTATTTGTTAAATCAGGAAGCAGCCAGAATTGACAGATGATGATGGCTTTGGTAAATAAACCTTGAAATCTAAATTTAACTTAGGAACATAATGGTAGTATGTAGTACTCAAGCCAGTGATTTCTCACATTTTTCTTATCACATTTTCTTATGAGGACTTGCCTCTTTTATATAAAATATTAAAGTGGTTCCCCCTCACAGATTTTTAAAGAAATAGATGAATTTAGGAATTGAACGAATATGACATATAAGTAATATAGAATAATTTGCTATGCTATCAGGTTCTAAGTGTTTTCTTTAACTTTTATTTATGGGTATTTTATTTTAATATCCAGTATGATAATGGAATTTGTTGTCATCAACATAGAATTTTAGAGTTTGAAGAGACTTGAATCAATATTTATATCAAAAATTTCATTTTGTAGGAGAGGAATGCCAGTTTAATTAGATCAAAATGAATTTATCAGAGATCTTAATCTACTCTGTAGAAGCTAAAGAAGAAATAGGATCATAAATTAATAACAGGGAGGTGCAAAGGTCCTTGAACATATAATGAGAAAAGCTAATTCTTATCTTTTATGACTTTTTCTCTTTGGGCCCTTTTGATTTTTTTCACTTTTGGTGTGTTATGTACCTGTGTGGTAGATGGTTTGGAGGTTTCAGTGACTTTTCTAATATAGGGATATAAAGAGTTCAAAGGGAATTGAAAGTGAATTACTACTTAGTAGATATGAGAGTGGTTGTAAGAATACCCTCTGCTTTGGGTATAGAACAATACCCCCTTTACAACCCCGGTAAATAAAACTTCTTCTGTATTTGTCAACTAAAAACTTGAAAGGAGGTGTGCCCATAGTGGCTCGAAGAGCAATAGTTTATAGATTGAGAATGAACAAAATATTTATGTTCATTATTGGTAACTTGTAGTTAATTTGTAACCAGGTTGAGCGATTGACTCTGGTTAATTTGCTGAAGATGAAATACTAAATTAATTTTTCATTTACTCAATTAAATTAAATTTAATTAATTAATTAATTTATTGACGGTTGGCTGGTACAGAGATCCAAACCCTTGGCCTTGGGTTGTCAGCACCACTCTCTAACTGAGTGAGCTAACTGGCCAGCCCTGTGCCTTTTTTAGATATGTTTAAAATTTTCCTTAATGGTGAAATTTTAGTTTTAATTGTTTATTCTTCTAGAAAAATATGGTAGGAGGATGGTATATGATTAATGTGTGTAAATGCATGAGTTTTTATAGAGGGTTTAAGTTTTATTTCCTTTCCAGATATGTGTTAAATGAAACCCAGAGTCGCCAAAATTCATCTTCAGCACAGGGTTCTTCTTCAAACAGTGGGGGTGGTTCTGGAATCCCACAGCCTCCCCCAGGAATGAGCTTTTATGCAGCTAAACGAGTTATTGGTGACAACCCATGGACACCTGAACAGTTGGAACAGGTATCACACCTTGCTTGCTCATAATGATACTTGACCCTGTGTACTTGCCCCTATGAAGTCCGTGAAAGCATGTGTAATATAATTCTAGCATATTCTGACTCTCTAATGAAATATGTTTGAAAGGAGCAATTGATGTAATGTGTTTCCTTCATCATGTCAGTTATTTGTTAAGGCCCTAGGGAAAGGGAGGAGTGGGAAATACTTTTTAGTTTTTCTAATATTGCTTATGTATTTCAAGTATAAAGCATAACCCACTTATAAATTTGAGTATATTTAACTTCTGTCATTTTTTAGTTTTTTAATTATAGGTTTAATAATCATCTAGCTCCTTTGGTAACAGTTAAAATACAGTTATATTATTCAACTCTTTAGGGCTGTGCCTTTTGTGTAAAGTGAAGAACCCCTATACTCGTACTTCACAAAGTGACAATGTGGGGAAAAGCATGACTCCCTTTTATATTTCTTCCTGGGAATTAAAAATTGGCATTAAGATTTTTATTCTGGATTTAAACAGGACACAGATGTTCTCTGAGCAGCTTTTAAAAATGACTGGTGCTCTACAGAGAAGGTGCCTCACTGTGTCTGTGTCATCAGGCACCTCAGGGAAGAACAGATGAGATCAGTATGTAATTATTTTGGAATTCAAGCAACATGGGTTAGTCTTCTAATCCTTCCTTTATCTCTCCATGGCAGTCTAAATGATTTGATCCTTTTCTTTTTGGGAATGTAAGTGACCATTGATCAAAACAGTGTTCCCAGGAGAGGGAAAAAGCAGCAAGTGGGGCATTCTTATCACTCACAGGTTTATAGAATGTTTATTCAGTGAGGGTTATAATTGACTAGATTTACTTCATGTTTTTTAGATCTTTTTTTTTCTCTTTAAACCGTGATGTTATAAAGGTAAATAGTAACAGAAGCTACTCTTTATTGAGTGTAATTTAAGTCACAGGCACTATACTGAGTTCTTTGAATACATTATCTCATTTAATCCTCACAGTAACCCAATGTGGTATATAAATTGTTAGTTCCGTTTTCTAAAAGGCACTGAGGTTTCAAGATTCACCAAGGTCTTACTTCTAGAACCAGGTTTTGAACCTAGGTCTGTCCGAGGGCTAAGGCTGCAAGTGCTGGAAAATAATTTTTCATGTTTCTTGTCATTTTATGTTGGTCATTATTTGCTAAATTATAAGGACCTTGTATATGTTTTGTCAGTTTCATAATCTAGATGCCAGCTCTTTTCCTCTAATTTTAAAATATCTCCTTTGTTTTATGTATTTTCTTCCAAATAAAATAGCTTTTATTTTTTCTGATTATTAAGTTAATGATAATGTAAAGATTCAAGTGGTTAGAATAGTATGAAGAGAAAATAATGATTACCTGGAATCCTGCCATCCTAGTTTGTCATTCATCTATGGCTTGACATAGATGTGTGTGTGTGTGTGTGTGTGTGTGTGTGTGTGTACAAATACAGTTTTATACAATACATTTTTCATGTCATATGATATATCACTTTTATTTTTTTTGTTTAATAGTATTTCAAGTTTTAAAAAAAGTCATCCTTTTTAATGTTTGTATAAAATTTAATTATATGTAATATTTTTTAACCAGTCTCCTGTTGATGGATGTCTGTATTATTTTCAGTTTTCTTTACACGTTTTTTCTTTATATCTTTGTGAACTTGACTTCCATAACTGTCCTTTTTGTGATTTACATAAATGTTTGAGTCTTTTCTGTTGTAGCTCTTGTTTCAAGCAAGTTGTTGAGCAGGACAGGGAAGGCAGACCTTTTTATGATCTGTTTTACCTTTTTTTAATTACATCCTTTCTCATTTAATAATTGTAAGCCTTATCAATTCTCATTCATAAATGTAAGAACTATTACGTAACAGATATTTAAGGTGAGCATAAAGTTTAACTTTTCAGGTGTGTTTATCCTAAATTGAGTTATTTGTAGTGAAATTCATAGATCCTTCTCACTGCATGAAGTTCTAAACAAAATCTCTCTTTAGTCTGTTTTTTACTTCAGCCAGTCAATTAGATTGAATACAGTTAGATTAGAATTTTACTTGCTTTAAGTAGGGTACATTTGAAATAATAAACTTTGTTTTTAATATCTAAGAATAGAGAGGATAAGAATTAGTATGTTAAGAGTAGAGTGAAACTTTGTGGAATCTGAGTTGTTTAGATCTTTTTGGACTGTTATAAAAATCCATGGAACATTTTATTCCTAATATACTACCAGCCTCTCATCAGGAGGCCCCAAATTTGGGCTTCAGGCTTTATCACTCAAGAGAGCTGTTTAACCTTCTTAGGTAGGCTGTGTTTTATAATAGTTTTAGACTCAGAGAGACTTGGGTTTGAATCCTGCCTTTATTACTTACTATGTGTATTAATCTCTTAAGCCTTGCCTCAGTTTCCTCATCTGAAATATCGGTATAGTAATGCCTGTCTTTTAGAATGTGAGGGTTAAATGGAATCATGAATATTTATGGTTTAGTATAGTCCCTGGCACATTGTAATACTAAGTAGGAGCTGCTGCTATTGTTACTATTAATCCTTGGTTTATGACCACACTGATATGTAAAGCAAGACAGTTAGTGGGTGTTCTTTGTTTTCCTGACCACTCTTTCTCCTTCCCTTCATTTATCTGCAGTGCAAATTGGGCATAGTGAAATTCATAGAAGCTGAACAGGTGCCTGAACTTGAAGCTGTTCTCCACCTGGTGATTGCTTCTAGTGACACACGCCACAGTGTGGCAACTGCAGCAGACCTGGAATTGAAAAGCAAGCAAAGGTGACTACTTCCCTGTGAAGATTTCAAAATTGAAAGGGCTAGATTTCTGAAAGATTACTCAGCACATATTTGTCCTTTTAGGATTTTATGTAATGAGACATTCAGCTTATGAGATGATGAAATATACCTAGTTTGTAATAAGTAATGTTTGCTAAAGACCAGAATCTGTGTGAGACAAAGAAGATAAACTATTTGGAGATGCAATTTAAAGTTGGAATAGGTTAGGAATATCATTGCAAAAAATGAGACTTTTGGCCAGGTGAATAAACATAAAGAATTGATGTTAAGGAAGATGTCAGATCCAAGAATTTATTCATTTTTGATTCTCCCTCTACCTCAAACCATTTGAGATTATTTTTAGTAAAGAATATGGATGTATTATGATTAATACAGTGAAAATCAGATTCATGAAAAGAATCTCTGAATGTATCCTAATTCACACAGGAAGAGATAAAAATAGTAAATAGACTCATAGAAAACATTCTTTATAAGAAACTTAAAAAATAAAATCAATGAAATATAAAATTTTCACAACAAACATGTAATGATGAGATACCAATTTGTTACCTGATGGTAAATAGAATTTTGTGTAGCAGTTGATAAATCCACTTACGTTTCTGTAGAAGCTGCTATTCTTATACCCTATTGATTGGCATTACAAAATGAGTTAATTTTAGAAAGCAGTTTATAAGTAATGAATCATAAACTACTTTTACTTTTTTATCCAAATCTTCTGAGAGTTTTATCCTAAGGAAATCCTTCAAAAGAAGAAAAAGACTATCTTTAGAAAAATGTTATGGATTTGTTCATTATAGCATTTCCCATAATTGTTAAAAAAAAAAAGAGTTGGAAAAAATTTTGGTTCCCACAGTGGCGATATAGTTGAGTGAGTTACTGTATATAATTTTATAGAATATTATATATCTGCCAAAATAATTATAAGAATAATATATCAACATGTAAATTGCTCACAAGTAATGGCAGGTGAATAAAGCAGAATACAAAATATGCGCACTGATTGTAAATTTAAAAAATGACGTGTGAAGACTAAAGAATAGCATGAAAAAAATGAAGATATTCGGTTAAAAAAGTTGACTCATGGAGTAGTTCTTTTTTGAATTTGTTTTAATGCTTATAATTACGTAATAACATTCTAGAAGACAGTAGAATATGGATAAGGTCATAAAGTTTTGTAATATTGTAGTTTATCCTGTCCAACAAGACCAGTACAAGTAGGTTTAACAGATTAAAAAAATTTACTTCATTTTGTTTTAATTTGCTTGTTGAAATATATGTGGGTGTGTGTGTGTGTGGTGGTGGTTGGGAGCAGCTTACCACCAGAGAGCATGTGAGGTGGCATAGAGGAGGAGGGTGTTGATCATGAAGTTAATTCCAGTCATTCCTCTTGCTGGTTATATGAATTTGGGAAGCTGGCTACACCTCACTGGGCCTTAGACTCTGTAAAATAAAAAAGTTGGATTAGATTGTACTTAAGATTCCTCCCAAGTCTAAATTCCTTCGTGCTGCTGGTAACTGAATCTTGTTGGTATCCATTTCAAGGGATTTACTTTTGAAGTATCAAGAAAATCTTTCTTTAAAACTTGTTGTGTTTGAACTGGCCCCATTTTTTACATCATACAGTGAATTTGATTGTTGGAAATATTTGTGATGCTTAAGTGTTTAGTTTTGGTTTCATCTATGAAAACAAATGTATGCATTTTTTCCTAACATTTTTAAGAGATAAAAAGCAAGTTGAGAACCAAATATAGATATTATTCTTTTTTGTCAAAGAAAAATTCCAAAGTATCTCTTCAAGTGATGTATCTATCTATTGATCTATTTCTTTATCTGCTTGCCTGCCATACCCAACCACCTATTTTACATGTGTAAGAAAGACATCTAGAAAAAGACACCAAAGTTAGTTGTTATTGTATTGAAAAGGAATAGGGATATACTGCAGATTATAAGGAATTTTATTTTCTATATTATTCATTTCTAAATTTTCACAACAAACATGTAATCAGAAAACTAAAAGTAGAAATATGGGAAGAAGAAAAATAGAAAGAACTCAGGAAATTGTCCTTCTTAGTTAACAACTAGTCTGTTTCACTAAAGTGTTCCGTGTTTTGTCAAAATCTCTGAGCCTGAAGTATTATAGAAGGGAAACAATGATAGAACTTGAGAATTAGTAGCAATCAGCTAAGGGAAGATGTAGGCAACTAATACTTAAAATAGAGTTATAGAATGGCTTTGAGAATAGTGGGATTGTAGATATACAAAGAAAGGCAGATTAATAAACTATGGAAGAAGAGATGGATCAGAAAAGCAGTCAAAGCAGCAGGATGACTGTGTTTGCACACATACAGCATGGCTTGAAAGCAAAACCAATGTCAAAAGGCATTGGAAGAGAAGAGAAGATAGTATGGTAAAACCTCACCAGTCAAGTGAAATGAAGGATTACATTATTGCTAGTTTCATAAAATTGGGCGGGGTCTGCTGCAGAGGGTGGGAGTCAATCACCAATCACCTTACATCCTAATTCACCTTATTGTGGGGCCCAAATAGGAATGTCTTAGTGACTAATGGCAATGTGACTGCTCTGTAGAATCAGGTACTAAAACTGCAAGTGTGTGCTGGTAGATAAGGAAAAGGGGATACTGGGAATACAGTGACACAATATTTGAGAAATTTGATGGGTTGTAAGCTTCCTAAGGTGTGGCTTTCATGGATAAAAACTTTTTTGTCACTTTTCCTTATCACCTTTGAATTTCCAAGTGGTTAAACAGAACAAACATACCCTGGCCCAGGGTTCTTTTAACAAGTGTAATGTAGCTTTGCTTTATTGGAGTTGCCCCATGACATTGGCCCTGAGAGCACACCTGTATAGGAACAGAGTCCAGATTTCTTGTGTGGCAACAGTCTGTTGAATCAAGGTGGAATGAACGATTTGGTTTTTTTTTTTTTGTTGTTTGTTTGTTTATTTAAAACTAACTTTGATAGAAGTTAGTCCCTTTTTTTTTTTCTTTTGCGATGTCAATGGCCCATTTAATTTGTATGTTTCTGCATTTGCCTTTGGTAATAAATATGGGGACTATGATCTTCTGAAATCATTGAAGTGGGAAGAAAAAATAATTTTAATAACTTATGTTGAAACCTTTTGTAGCTTAATTGACTGGAATAATCCTGCCATTATTAATAAGATGTACAAGGTATACCTTGGAGATATACCACTGAAGACAAAAGAGGTAGGTTGTTTTTATTTATTCTCACATCAGCATACAAAGCATTTTTATTGACATGAACTGTATGTAATTGAACATTTTCTCCTAGTTATTTTGACTTAAGCAGAATCTATGCTATATGAGATACTAGTTTTAAGCCATCCTAGTCTAGATGAATTAAAATCTCCTGGCAACTTAGTTTACTTAATCTGTTGTTTTCAATTCAGGTATTTAAATGATGATGATACATTGTCTAAATTAGGGATCAACAAATTTTTTCTGTAAATATTTTAGGCTTTGCAGGTCTTTGGGTGTCTGGGGCTGCAACTACTCAACTCTGTCATAACATGAAAGCAGCCATAGACAATACATAACTGAGTGAGCAGGACTGTATTCTGATAAAATTTTGTGGATGCTGACGTTTGAATTTCATATCATTGTCAAATGTCACAAAATATTCCCTTTATTTTTTTTTAACCATTTAAAAATGTGAAAATGATTCTTAACTCACAGGCTTTCTCAAAATAGATGTTGGGCTAGATTTGGCCCGTGGCTGTAGTTTGCAGACCCTTGGTCTAGAATGTAGAACAAAAGATGGGTACTTCTGGGCCGGCCCGGTGGCGCACTGCTATAGTGTGCCGCTTGGGAAGCGCGGCGGCGCTCCCGCCGAGGGTTCGGATCCCACATACAGACCGGTTCCCACTCACTGGCTGAGTGAGGCGCGGGAGCAACACCGAGGGCTGTGATCCCGTTGCCGGTCTCGGTCTGGTACGGGGCGACACTGAGGGTTGCGATCCGTTGCCGGACACGGAAAAAGACAAAAAAAAAAAAAAAAAAAGATGGGTACTTCTGAAGCCTTGAAATAAGATTTTTGCTTAATAACATAAGTTCTGTTTAGTTCACTTTGTTTAAAAGTATTCCAAGTCCAAACCCAGACATACAAGGATTATTTGTTTGCTTGCTTGCTTGCTTTCTTGCTTTTTAAATCATAAATAGTTGTTTAAAAAATAATATTAGCTCTAGTTAGTTTAAATTGAATGTGGTGTAGCAGAAAGAATAATGAATTGGGCCTGCTGGATCCTAGCTCTGAATGGCTGCACATGAATGTGCTGGGGAGGAGAGGTTTGGCTAATCACAGAACTTCTCTGGACCTCATGTTCTTAATGTAGAAAATGAAAGTGTTTGTATTAGATTAGTGGTTCTCAGAGTGTGGTCCATGGATCTTTTTGGGAGTCACAAAGTGCCTTTTAGGGGGTCTCTGAAGGCAAGAGATTATTTGCCTTTTTTACTATGTTGGTATTTTTACTTATGGTACAAAAGCAATGGTGGGTGTACTTGCCAGGATCCTAACACAAATCAAAGCTGTGTTTCAAAGGAATACTAGCAGTCATTCTAGCTTCACTGTCTCACACTCATGGTAAAAAAGAAAAAGAGAGAGAGAATAAAACTCAGCCTAAGGATATTCTCCATGAAGCAGTAAAAATTATTTTACTTGAAAAGTAGACAGGCAGCTCTGTTTACCAAGATGGGTATTTGGCATATATTTTCTCTAAAAGGAAAATAATGAGGTTGTAACTTTAAGAAAAACAACATAATTTATTGGCAATGATAGAAGTTGAGCTTTCAAGCAAAAATTAGAATTTTGTGAAACTTGTATTCACCATGGTGGCTTGACAGCTTATCAGTACTTAGTGGATTTTTCTGATGAGATTGGTGGTGATAGGAAACATGCTTTTTCTTTCTTTTTTTTTTTTAATGGATGTTGTATAATGAAACATTTGCTTAATTTAGTAAGCCAATACTTTCCAATAATGTTATAAAATCATACAAGCATAAGGGAGCAATTCAAAGGGCAAGATTTTAGTATAACAGTATACAAAAGTTTACTGATATTTCAACTCCAAATTGCAACTAACCTTTAAGAAATTATTATTTATCAAGTTTTGGTGTAGCATCAAAATAGAATATCCACAATTACCTGAAAAGGCTAAAATCATCTCTACTTTTCTAACCACGTATCTATGCAAGGTGGGTTTTTGTCATGCACTTCAACCAAAATGTATTACAGCAGTTTGAATGCAGGAGAATACATACACAAATCCAGTTCTCTTCTAGTAAGGTGGACATTGCAAACATTTGCAAAAAATGTAAATCAGTGCTACTTTCTCAGTACAATTTTTTGATTTAGAAAATAGTCCTTTTTCATAAAAATGTTATTTATGAAAATAAATAATGAATTTATTAATGTTTCAGAGTGAATAAGCAAATATTTAAAAATTTCTCAGTTTTAATATATAATACAATAAATATTGATAGTTTATATGGATTTAAACAAAAGCTCTTTAGAATCTTCAGTAATTTGTGAGTGTGAAGGGATCTTAGAATGAAGTTTGAGAACCATTGATTTAGATGAGCTTTCTTTCATGCCTTTTTCAGTTCAAAATAATTTTGAAATGCTGAGTTATAATCAGACATATTTTTGACAGGGAGCAGTTCTGAAGCCAGAGCTGAAAAGGGACCCAGTTAGTACCAGAGTCAAGTTAAAGATTGTTCCCCATCTCCTCCGTTCTAGACAAGCTGCTGAAACGTTCCCAGCTAACATTCAGGTAATTTGTTCTTTCCAGAGAAAAATGGCCTGTCTGCAACTTTTATGTCTATTTAGTTAGAGAAAGAACTGTGTTAATGGATATTCAGGAGGCATGTTGATGTATAAAACAAGATCGAGAGTCTTTTTTTCCTATCTTGTTTGCTGTGGAATGATTTTTGAAGAATTTATTACAGAACATAAACTATGGTTTCCAAGGGATATGGTGATAACCCATTTCAAACTGTTTTTTGTGTTTGTGTAGCTTTTGTCCAAAAATGGTACGGAACTTACTTAAGTAAAAAACCTGAGTCATCCTTAACTGAAGGATGTGACCAGATGAAGGCAGTGACCAGATCCTCTTGATTTTGTCTTCCTAATGTCTTCATCTCTCCGCACCCAATGCTAATATTAGTTATTGTTTATCGCAGTAGTCTGCTACCTTGTCTGGCTGTCTATAGTCTTGCCCCACATTCACTCTGTTTTCTGTGTTGCCACCGGAATTGTGTTTGCAGTTGGAAAGCCTGTACTCTCTGTTGGTGAAGGATGCAAACTCTTCCACAAAAGACCTTGTCTTTTATACAAGTCATGACCAGCTCAGCTCTGGAGGCAGATAGATTTGGGTATAATTTGTCTTCATTAACTATTTCCTTTTTTTTTTCTTTCCACTTTTTTTTATTGTGGGAAAATACGCATAAAACTTACCATCTTAATCATTTTTAAGTGTACAATTCAGTGATATTAAATAGAATCACAGTGTTGTGCACCATCACTACCCATCTCTGTAACTCTTTTCATCTTGAAAAACTGAAAGTCTAAGACCATTAAACAATAACTCCTCATTCTCATATTTCCCCAGCTCCTGGCAACCACCATTCTACTTTCTGTCTCTATGATTTTGACAACTTAAATAGATAACTCATATAAGTGGAATCATATAGTATTTGTCCTCTCTAAATGGCTTATTTCACTTAGTATAATGTCCTCAAGTTTCATCTGTGTTGTAGTATATGTCAGGATTTCCTTTTTTTTTTAAGGCTGACTGTCCATTTATCTGTTGATGGACATTTGGATTTCTTCCATATTTCAGCTTTATTGAATAATGCTGCTATGAACATGGGTGTTAGAAATATCTTTTTGAGATCCTGCATTCACTTCTTTTGGGTTTATACCCAGAAATGGAATTGCTGGATCATATGGTAATTTTAATTAAAAAAAATTTTTTTTTTGTTCTGGCTGGTACAGGGATTAAACCCTAGATCTTGGTGTTATCAGCATCTTGCTCTAACCAACTGAGATAATCGGCCAGCTGTAATTTTTATTTTTTGAGGAACCACCATACTGTTTCCATACTGGCTGTACCATTTTACATGCCCACCAGCAGTACACAACAAGGGTTCCAATTTTGCCACATCCTCAACAGCAGTTATTTTCTGGTTTGTTTGTTTTTTGGTTGGGGGTGGTATGCTACCGGCCAGTAAAGGGATTGAATTCTGGACCTTGGTGTTGTGGTTTTTTTTTTTTTTTGGTGGCTGGCCAGAAAGGGATCAAACTTTCTGATTTTTTTTTTTTTTTTTTAAATAGCCTTCCTAATGGGTGTGGGGAAGTATCTGTTTCATTATAGTTTTGATTTGCATTTCCCTCATGACTAGTGACATCAAGCATCTTTTCCAGTACTACTTGGTGATTTCTGTATCCTCTTTGGAGAAATAATTAAGTCTTTCGCCCATTTTTGAATAGATGTGTTTGTTATTTTGTCGTTTAGTTTTAGGAGTTCTCTCTATATTCTGGCTATTAATCCCTTATCAGATATATGATTTGCAAATGTTTTTTCCTATTCCGTGAGTTGCCTTTTTTTCTCTTCTGATATTGCCTTTTGATGCACAAAATTTTTAGTTTTCATGAAGTCCAATTTGTCTATTTTTTCTTTTGTTGTTGCCTGTGCCTCTGATACCATGTCTAAGAGACCATTGCCAAATTCAGTGCTATGAAGCTTTTATCCTGTGTTTTTTCCTAAGACCGTCATAGTTTTAGGTCTTATATTTAGGTCTTTGATCTATTTTGAGTTTATTTTCATATATGGTGTTAGGTAAAGGTTCAACTTCTTTCTTTTGCATGTGGATATCCAGTTTTCCCAGCACTGTTCGTTGAAAAGGCTGTCCTTTCCCCATTGAATGGTATTGACTCCCTTGTCAAAAATTACTTGACCATATATGTGAGTGTTTATTTCTGGGCTCTCTATTCTATTGCATTGCTCTATATGTCTGTCTTTATGCCAGTACTGCATTGTTTTGTTTACTGTAGCTTTGTAATAAATCTTGAAAACAGGAAGTGAGAGTCCTCCAGCTTTGTTCTTATTTTTCAAGATTGTTTTGGCTATTCAGGATCCCTTGAAATTTGGCGTGAATTTTATTTTATATATATTTTTTATTTTATTAATTTTTTTAGCAGCTGGCTGGTAAGGGGATATGAACCCTTGACATTGGTGTTACGAGTACCAGCTCTAAAGAAGTAAGCTAACTGGCCAGTCCTTCCATAAGAATTTTAGGATGGGTTTTTCTATTTCTGCAAAGAACATCATTGGAATTTTGGTAGGGATTGCATTGAATCTGTAGATTGCTTTGGGTAGTATTGGTATCTAAATATTAAGTCATCTGGTCCACAAATGTGGGATGTGTTTATGTTTATGTCTTCTTCAGTTTCTTTCATCAGTGTTTTGTTGTTTTCATTGTACAAGTCTTTCAGTTCCTTGAGTAAGTTAATGCCTAAATATTTTATTTTTTTTGATGCCATAGTATATTGAATTGTTCTCATAATTTCCTTTTCAGATTGTTCATTGTTAGTGTATAGAACTGCAACTGATCATGATTTTGTGTCTGGCTACTTTGTTGAGTTCATTTATTAGTTCTTTTGGTGGACTCTTTAGGGCTTTATACCTAAAAGATCATCTCATCTGTGAACAGAGATAATTTTACTTTTTCCTTTCCAATTTGGGTGTCTTTTATGTCTCTTTCTTGTCTAATTGCTCTGCCTAGAACTTCCAGTACTATGTCAGATAGAAATGGCAAAGTGGAAGTCTTTGCCTTATTCCTGATCTTGGAGGAAAAACTCTGTCTTTTACCATTGAGTGTGATGTTCACTGTGGGTTTTTTGTATATGGCTTTTATTATGTCAATGTAGTTTCCTTCTATTCCTGGTTTGATGAGTGTTTTTATCATGAAAACGTGTTGAAATTTGTCAAATGCTTTTTCTGCATCACTTGAAATGAACATGTGATTTTTTTTTTCTTCATTCTGTTTATGTAGAGTATTACATTGATTGGTTTTCCTATGTTGAACCATCCTTGCCTTCTAGTAATAAATTCCATTTGTTCATGTTGTATAATATTTTTAATATACTGCTGAATTCAGTGTGCTACTGTTTTGTTGATGATTTTTGCATCAATGTTTATAAAGGATATTATTGTGTAGATTTCTTATGATGTCAGTTATTTGCTTTTGCTCTTAAATAAGTCTCAAGTGTTTTTCTTTTCTTCTCTCTCTTTTTTTAATCTGTAATAATAGCACCTACCTTATGGCAATGTTGTGAAGACTGAATGGATTAATGAATAGAAAGTTTAGAACACAGTGACTAGTACTCATTCAGTTAAGTTCTTACTAGATGGTGAAAGGTTGGAAGTTATTTGCCTTCTGGTCTCATCTCTCACCACCCCTTGCCCTGCACCTTATGCTACAGTAAAAGATCGTAGCTCCTTAAATATGCTGTTTTCATGTCTCTGTCTCTGTTCATGATGCTCCCTCTGCCCAGCACAGCAACTCCCCTCTGCCTTTTAGTCTGGTAAACATCTATTCACATTTTAGTATTTACTCGTGTGTCACCTGCTATCCAAAATGTACCCATTTCCTGCCTCTCTTCCCTTTCAGTCCAAAACTGAGCACACACTCCTTTGTGCTTTCACTGTAAGGTGGACACAGACTTCTGTCTTAGCATCTCTCTGCTTGAGACTTATTTGTTTATATGGCTGCTTTCTTCTGTTCCGAGGGTCTGGCTTATTTCAGACACTCTAACGTATGGATAATTTTAAGTATTCTGTTCTGTGTCTCCATAAATATAAAATTTCCACAGGTCTTCTTAGATTTTAGTTTCCAAGAACTATTTCCCAGATAGCATCTTGATAATTTTGGTTTAGAAAATATGCTTCTAGTAACACTATGTTACATAATATGCTGCCAGAATTTTTGGACAAAATATATGCTTCCTGTAGGTTTATTATGCTTTACTTCTAATTATTTATATATTTTGAAAATAAGTCTAGCTAAAATTCAGCGTATGCAAAGGTAAAACTCACTACCCATAAATGTTCCTCCTTTGCTTATATTCCTATTTCTCATGATGGCATTACCGTTGTCCTGCATAGTTTGCCCACCCCTTTCTTCATCTGTGAATCACAGAATCCTTCAAGGTGTCATTCAGATGAGTCTCTTCTTTCCTGATTCCCATTCCTTTAACTAGGCATGTGTTACCTCACCTCAGTTTTGAACACATAGAAACACCCAGCACAATTCTTTACACATAATATGTGCACCATAAATTTTATTTTTTTCTACAGAACAATAGTGTTCTGAGTAATCCTTTTGCTTCTGATATCTTACCATATTATTCTCTATAATATTGACATTATCAGATTAATGTTCTAAAAAAAGTGTTCCAAACAATGTAGCACATGGAAAATCAAACTACATTTACATTGATAAATTAAAATAAATAATAAATAAATAATAAAAAACCCAAAATCAAAACAAAAATAATGTAGCCCTTGATTGAATTTTGTCCTGCTTCATTTTTAATGTATGTATATCCTAACTCGTCAACAAGATTAACTGCATTGATAGCAATGCTTTTTTTTTTTTTTAATATCTCATGGTATCTAGTATAGTGGTAATTATAAAGCAGATACTCAATACAACTACTAGTTTGTAGCTCAAGTGTTATTGTTAAATAAGATTAGAATGCTGCTAGTAGTTTTAGGAACAAGAGTCTGGAGTTTTTTTAAATGTATGAGTAATGTTTCCCGTAGAAAGTAGGAATTTGAGGGGTTTAGATATCTTTGAAGTTGATGTTCAATATTTGAACTTGCTGGAAGCCACACAGGACTTATCTGCATGGTCTTTTTGCCTTCTAGATATGATTTCTACAGTATAAGGATCACTTCTATTTTGACTGCACACTTGTAGAATGTTTAATTTTGTTTTTTGTGAAGCTTTTATTATAGTATATATTATAATTTGAATCACTACTACGTGTGATTAAGAAATGATCTTATCTGCTAGTGTCCCCTGTGTGGTATGGAACGGCAGAGTTGCCATCATGTACTCTTCCTTGCTTCCTAGTGGTAGACCTACAAGTTTTGTAGACTTGTGAGTTCAACCAGTGTGTTTTGTTACTGCACAGACTATTGATAGGAGTTATGATTGACTTTCTAAGTCATTCAGCTGATAATGTTTTTCTGTATTACAAAGAACTGCATTGATTTTGAAGAAAAAGGTGTTAGTGCAAAAGGCCTGCTATTGAATTCTGATTACTATTTGAAAATAGTAAATTTTTATTTTGCTAATTGGTGTTCTTTACTTTGTTCCTTTCACATAGGTTGTATATGATGGGCTTTTTGGTACAAATACAAATTCAAAGTTAAGAACACTATCCCTGCAATTTGTGCATCACATTTGTATAAAGTAAGTTTTTTAAAGCTATTTTAACCGTAAAATGTTCAAACTGCTAGAATGATCAGATGATTCAAGTATATCTTTTTACCCATCTTACCTAGAAAGAAATCAAGTTGCTTATCTTAAAACATTTTCAGATTTTAGTAGGTTATTTAGGTTATTTCAGTCATGTCTCTATTTTTTTTAAAATTAAAAAAACCTTTTTTTGGCCACTGGGCAGTATAAGGATTGAACCCTGGATCTTGGTGTTATCAGCATCACGCTCTAACCAATTGAGCTAACCAGCCAGCCTATGTCTCTGTTTTAAATAATCATGTCAAAAGATATGTAATTATGAGATTCTTATCTTGCTTTGTGTATGTGTGTATTTTTTAAAGCTGTCCCGAAATCAAGATTAAGCCATTAGGTCCAATGCTTTTGAATGGCCTCACCAAGCTAATCAATGAATATAAAGAAGTAAGTCACTTGTCTTTTAAATTTTGTTAGCATGGTATATTTTAAAATATTTTCTATAATAAATCTTTATGCTGCACCTATTGATGTAGTTACTTAAAGTACGCTCATTGTTTTTTAACATTTTTCCTTGAAGTGGTACAAATTTCAGAAATTACTGCCATTTTTTGCCTTTTTCAAAAGTAAGTATGAAAAACTGATAGGAATCTTGAGGGGATCTTACCACTTTAAATAACATTTTTTAAAGCAAGTGCATTTTATGCTACTTCTAGGTACTGTGCAAAAATGGAATTAAAGGAATTAGCTGAAATTTATTTTTTGATTTATTTCCATATGAGACTATTTGGATTTGGCTTGTATTGGGAAATTGTTAATTCTTAGGGACTGAGATTTTACTGATTCAAAGTTCTATCAAAACATGCATTCAGTAAATTTTTGATTCCTTAAGCTAAATGGAATGAGGATTCCTTGAATTGTAGATTTCCCAATCCTGCTTTTCCTTGCTGTATTTCTGTCACTACTCTAGTATTTCAGAGGAATTTGCTAAAAAAAAAAAAAAGATAAGTTTTTAAGAACTCTAGTTAGGATTATTTTCCTTAGTCTTAGCTAAACATGAATGCATGTTTGCAATAGTAGAGTGAGATCAAGATTTTGCCATTTAAAGTTAGAATTGAGTTTGAATCCTAGTTTTGTTCTTTGGTGAGTTACTTAAATTCTTTGGACCTCTATTCTTTATTAGAAAAATGAAAATAGGGCCGGCCCGGTGGCACACTGGAGAGTGCGCCGCTTGGGAGCGCGGTGGAGCTCCCGCCGAGGGTTCGGATCCCATGTGGAGACCTGTTCCCGCTCACTGGCTGAGCGTGGTGCGGGCGCAACACCGAGGGTTGCCGGTCCCCGGTACGGGCGCGACACTGAGGGTTGCGATCCCGTTACTGGTCAGTAAAAAAGACAAAAAGGAAAAAAAAAAAAGAAAAATGAAAATAATACCACCACCTTATTGAATTATTATTAAGATTGAGTTACTACACAAATTATTCAGCACAGTCAGGGCACATTAGTAGATATTATTATTAGAGAAAAGCTGTTCATTTGCTGTGCTTTAGGGGTAATGGTAGGCCTGGTTTTTCTATCTTCTTTCTCCTGTGGAATAATGCTTGCATGGTTTTTAAGGTCTACGGAACCATTCAGATTATTTTTATGGCATAGATAGATGCTTTGGAGTGGCTGGTAAAAATAAGAATGCTTTGGGTCTTTTGGGGAGAAGCTGTATATTTAAAAATAGGTTAGAGAGGCCAGAAAAACCACAGAGCCCTAATCCCCTTACCTCCAGATGATACCTGCATGTCTTCCCAACAGGTGAATCCATAAATGTGTGGAAGGGTGAATCCTAGATTAGATGTATAAGCTTCAGCTGGCAGAAGTTTGTTACTGTGTTCTGAGTAATCAGACGACTGGTTTTCATAAAACCATGTAAAATTTTGTCTGTCTTGAGCAGGGACTTTCACTAATTCATTTGCTGATTGATTCTGACCTCCTTCATTTTTATGGTGAAAAATATGTGAGGAAGCTGTTTATTATAGTGCAGAGTTTTAGAAAATCACACTACAAATTACTGCAATTTTGATAGAGAGGAAGAATCCTAGTCTGTTTGACCAGTGATGAATTTTCTAAGTTAAGCTGTTTTTCTAGTGTATTGAAGATGAATTTTGGTGTTTGTAGGTTACATAGTGTTAAAAATATCCTGAACTTAGCACTAGCTGAGAGAAACCTTTCATTTATGACCACTATATATATATATATATATTTATTTATTTTTTTATTTTTATTGAATCAAAATTTATTATACAGATTTTTGGGGCTCAACATTGAGATATGTTGATTAAATCTATATTACTAGCATATATATTGTTACAAATCATAATTATTCTTTATGTCCCTTGTCCAACCTCTCTCCTTCCCCCCTTCCCTCCCTCTCCCCCCTCTAATTGCCCTAGATTTCTTCTCTCCTTCTGAAAGAATAATGGTTACTCTGTTGATTTGTTGCCTAGATGATCTGTCCAATGCTGAGAGGTGTGATCAGGTCCCCCACTATTATCATAGAGCAGATGCTTCTTCTGTCACTCTGAAATGGG